TTTTTTTTTTTGCTGAGGAAGACTGCCCGTGGGCTAACATCCGTGCCCATCTTCCTCCACTTTATACGGGATACTGCCACAGCATGGCTTGCCAAGCAGTGCGTCGGTGCACGCCCGGGATCCGAACCAGCGAACCCCGGGCTGCCACAGCAGAGCGCAGCGCACTTAACCGCCTGTGCCATGGGGCCGGCCCCTAAATTCTACTTGTTTTGAAAATCCTAGAAAACTTTTTGATGTAAGTTTCTGTTTATGTTCTCCTTAGTGCTTGTCTCTTAAAATTCTCCCCAAACTCTTGTGTATTAGTTTTCTAGGGCTGCTGTAACCAGGCACCACAGACTCGGTGGCTTTAACAACAGAAATGCCTTTTCTCACAGTTCTGGAGGCCAGAAGTCAGAGATCAAGGTGTTGACAGAGTTGGTTCCTTTGCAGGCCATGAAGGAAAGATGTGTTCCCGGCCTCTTTCCTTGCCTTATAGATGGCTGTCTTCTTTTATGTCTTCATGTCTTCATTGCTCTGTATGAGTCTATGTCCAAATTTCCTCTTCTTTTAAGGATACCAGTCATATTGGATTACAGCCCACTCTAACGATCTCAGTTTAGCTAAATTATTTCTGTAAAGACCCTCTCTCCTAATATACTCACGTTCTGAGCTACTGGAGATCAGGGCTGCTACAGATGGATTTGTGGGGGACATAGTTCAACCCATAACATCTTGGGTATAAAGACACCTTTAAAAAATTCTGTGAAGCACTAACATATAATAAAGACAAAATGATGTCAAGTTGTGGATAAAATTCGTTGGAGCTTCAGGTCATACTTAAGATGTTGACTGTTCTAGTGGTAACAGCTATACTCCTACAACTTTGATATTCTGATCTGTACTATGTTTAGATATGTCATAATTGGTAGGGCAAAGTGTCACCAGCTCATTGATTATTATACTTTATACCACATTTCTTTAATAAATTATTATGTTTTTATTAATTCTTCCTTCTGTTTATTCAACAAAAGTCATAGAATGTCTACTCCATGCCAGGCATTATCCTTTAGAATAAAAATCATCAAGGATAATAATAACCACAATTGATTACGGAAAACTATTGCTTTTATCTGAAAATCAGATACGTCGCCACTAATGGACGACTTCAACAGCCAGGATTCTCCTAAGTCTCATCCCCAAGGGACAATAAGAGTATTTTTCTTGTGTCCTGAGCAGAAAAGTGCCCCAAACATCGTGAAAGTAGGCGGAACAGATCAGCCTGTGACCAAAAACAGCCAGCATTTGATATGGCTTTTCAGGACATCATGATTCATATAACAAGTTATTGAATTATAATTGATATAATTAATTTTTAAAATTAATCTTTCATCTTTCAGATGAAAGAAAGGACATAGATCAGATCTGGGACAGAGAAGCAGCATATTATTCCTTTTCATCCCTTTCTTTCTTGCTTTATTTTTCTTTCTTTCACCCACTTATCCATTCTTAGTCTACTCTGTCCTAGAATAGTGAAGTCGTAAACCATGGTGGTTGTGTCCAGTCTCTAGCATCATAGAGCCAGTTTTCAAAGAGACTTGTGTCTTACTAGCTGCATCAGTTGTCACACTTTTCTGAGGAAAATAACACCCCATGGGATTATTGTGATGATTCACTTACAAGCTACATGTGGAGTCAGATCAGCTCAGCAATAATAATCACACTGTAGCCAGAACTGTTCTTGTCATTATTATATCTATCCCTCTCAACTCTCTATGCCATATAACAAATCCACGAGTAATTGGAAAAGGTTGAAATGCAACATGGTTACCTCTGGAGGTGTCATCCTAGACAAGAAGAAATAGTGGGTGTACTCATTGAATTATACACCAAATTCGATTACATCCACACTATTTTGTCCCTTCCAAAAATCTGGGTTGTTAATTTCCATTGCCATTCTCTCTTAAGCAACCACCTTTTGTCCTATTATCCATGTCCCACAAGCATTGTAGTAAAAATAACATTTTAAACTCTGCCAAACCCTGATGCATAAAAGGAAATCTAAGAATGGACAATCTCTCTATGCTGGGTATTCCCTTTACTTCCAGTTTAGTAAAGTGTCAAAGGCTGGGATAACTAGAGGTCTTTTTTTTAAACAAGAGAAATCTATTTTCTCACAGTCTGGAGGCTAGAAATCCAGGATCTAGTGTCAGCAGGGTTGGTTTCTTCCGGAGGCTTCTCTCCTTGGTTTTAGATGGCCATCTTCACATGGTGTTCTCTTTGTGTGTGTATGCCTGTGTCCAAATTTCCTCTTCTTATAAAGACACTAGTCATATGGATTAGGGTCCACCCTGAAGACCTCATTTTGACTTAATTACCTTTTTAAAAACCTTATCTCAAATATGGTTACATTCTGAGGCACTGGAGTTTAGGAATTCAACATATGAATTTCGTGGAGACACAATTCAGCCTAGAACCCTCCTTCTTTTGGCCTACCTGACCCCACTTCATGTCCTTCTCACATGCAAAACATATCACCTCGTTCCAACTACCCAGAAGTCTAAATCCATTCCAACACCAACTCTTAAGTCCAAAAATCAGCCAAATAGCACGTAAACCAGGCATGGTTGAGAGTGGAGGAAGGATTCACCCTGAGGCAAGATTGCTCTCCAGCTGTGAACCCGTGAAACAAATAAGCTATCTGCTCCCAAAATACAACGGTAGGAAAGGCGTAGGTTAGATATTTCCATTCCAGGAGGGAGAACTCAGAAAGAAGAAAGGGATCATGGATCCCCAGCAAATCCAAAACCTAGCATGGCAAATTCCATGAGATTTTAAGGATTGAGAATGAGCCTCATTGTCTTGATGTTCTGACCTCATCGCCTACGGGGTTGGTGATCCTTATCCCCCCTGCCCTGGGTGGCAGCCACTTGACTGAGGTCTTTTGAATCATTTAATTTCTTCCTTCCGTGGATCACCATCCTGGATGTATTGGAGCTATATATTTCTGAGAAATTAAGCCCCTATTCCATGCAGTAGACACTCTTCATTCATCTTGAGCCCAAGGATATGGACATGATTAATCTCTCATCACGGGGTCGGAGGGCGTCTTACAACGTCTGATAGCAAAATAGGCCCTCAGCTAAGCGAAAAGGATCTCCTTGTTTTTTCTTGGTTGAGTCATTCTTTATACATTTCTTTGTTCAGGATAGTTCTCCATGCTAAATCACCAGTGGGGTAGCACCAATATGACCATCCCCAGTCTTGTCCTCATTTCCCAGGTCATTTGCAGTTGGCAAGTTGGCAGGAGTAGCGAATCACCTGGTCACTGTTTGTAGAACGGATATGGCCCACGTCAAATTCTGAAGAGAGAGAATCTGAATGACCTCACATAAATCAGATGATCATCGCAGGCCTAATCAACTTTCTCCAAGTGCCTGCAGACTACATCAGTACTATGAAAAGAGACTCCCTGATAACAGCATCTGAGAAGTTCTCTGGGTGATAAGCAATTAGAGTGGATAAATTCAAACACTCCCTAGTCCCAACTGTGTGCCCTACTGTAAGCACGAGAAAGCTCTCCACGTATTCTGATACATTTTGAAGGTAGAGCATTTTCTTTCACCTTTTCTCAGAAGTGATCCATTCTCCTCATCTAAATACTGACCACGCAGGAGGGAATAATTGGACATCTTGTTTTCTTTCATGACCTGGAAGGAGCTATTCTTGAGGAGGGAGTTCAGTTCTTCTGGTTCTAGTTTCTTGCTGTCTTGACATGAGTACAGCCATGTTTGGCCGCTCCATTGACCTACAGCCACCAGC